AAATATATTTTTTTAGTTGAATTTGACAATAAAGAAAAACGGCTTTCTGTAGCGATTCAGAAAACCGGAAAAATCAGTTATCCGGAATAGCGATGGTCCCGATCGTTCCGGATAATCGGTTCCCTACTGTATTGCATTCCAATAATGGATTTTGAGTTGTTTAAAACCATTTAGGATACAACCATATACATCTTACCCCAAACAAATTTTCCTTATCAAGACAAATGATACAGAAGATATGTAACATGTTATAATATATTACAATTTAACAATATAAAAAGTAAAAATAATTTACTCTTTTATGTTGTGCAAGTCAAGTGGAGGAAAAAATGTAAGAAATTAATCTTTATAACATACATTGCTGTTAAGATGGCAAAGTAACGTCAAGATCTTGGCAAAAAAATATTTATTGCATAAGACAATTGGTCTGTCACTTTTATGTACTTGTCCTATAAAAAAAATTATTTTAGGCTTTTAGACAGTAAAATATGATTTAAAAAAGAAGTTCACTAGATATATTCTACATTTAAAAACCAAAATTTTGAGCTAAAGAATAGAGAAATTGAATATTGTTTAGAATTAACAACATTGAAATTTTCTTTTTTTACCCCGAAGAAAGTTGAAAGTTAAGTGATTTATTAAGTACAGACTTTCACCGTTTTGTATCCAATCTCGGGTCACTAAAGTATTTTCTCTAATATCAGACCTGAGCACAGTTTGCATACAGCCCTCAAAACTTTCCTCCAGATCAGTGATTTTGTCGTTATAGTTTGTTGAGTTGAAGACCAATTCTATTGACCCCTTTACAACTTTCTTTTTTTAATATTTTGAAACGTCTGATAAATCAAAAAGAAGTATAACACTGCTTTTAGCAAAGCATATACTGTATTGTATTTTTCTTTTAAGATTGATATCTTTATGCTAAAGTAGTTAATTTGAGTAGTTTCTTTTCCAAGCACTAAGTTTTTGGTTTTCTGTGTTTGTCAATGTTTTAGGAAAAGATAGATGACAAAGCTTGTTTCTTGTTATTCCAGAGACTCAGTTTTATGCTTTACAGTGTGTGGACATTTCAGAATACAAGTTTTTCATTTATTTTTTATAACGTTGATCAGGGTCCATAGCCAAATTTTTCAACAAAAAATAAGCACTTTTCAAGCACTCAAAAATATTTTTAAGCACTTTCAAAAAATATGTGTATATATATAATTAGGCAGGGTTGGCAAGTTTTTGACAATTGACTGTTTTATCCGATTTAACCGTCATGTCAAAAAAAAAACTTTAGTTTTGCAGGCATAGTTTTTGACAATTGTCAAAAATCATGAAATTTTTAATCATAAAGCGAATGGCGTTTTCATACGCTAAGGACCGACGGTGTGCCGAAATAGAATGAGGTTGAATCAATTGTGAAAACATTGACTAGAACAATATAAACAGTGTCTTTTTGCATCTAACGTGGCGAAAATAAACAGGGTAATGGGAAAATTAAGCACTTTTTAAAAACACCCAATGAAATAAGCACCTTTAAGGGCTTTTAAAAAACGGTAATCGAAAATAAGAACCTTTAAGCACTTTTTAAAAACTCTACGCACCCTGATTGATGTAATGGTGTATAATCAGAAGCATAAAAAGTAATGCTTATAGTGTATTGGTCAAACTAAAGCTGGCTATATAAACCATTCTTCACAGTGATTCCTAATGAATAAATTTATCAAGCAGTTAATTTTTAAAATACAGGCATTAATTTGTTTATTTTTCAAATTTCAAGCACAAATATATAAATTTTCAGATAATCTTATGCCCAGAAAATAATTTCGACCCAAGTATTTTCTGTTTTAAAAAAGTTAACTTTTTTTTAAACATTAACTATGATTATAAATTTAGGGAACCTTTTAGAAAACTGTATAAATAATATAAATAGTCAAGCCAAATAAATACTTTATAACATGATATTCTCCATTTCATAACCATCGATATACTGCCGACCCAATTATGAGTTTATGACTACCAGTGTTCAACTCCATAGTCTTGTAATTTTGAACACTATCCAGAAGACAAGAGAACTCCTAGATCAAGTATTGGGAGAAATAGCCTGATGGCAAGGGGACTCTAACCCACGATCCATCTACCACTGAGGATATTTTAAGTCAACAGCGTGAACAATGTCAGGGTGGCCACTCAAATCAGATTTTAAATTTCCCTGATTTTTCCAGGTTTTCCAGATAAAAATCTTAAAATTTCCAGGTTTTTGTTTCTTTTTTCTTATAAAGTGTAGGATGTGTACAAGAAAAGTGTCTATATCATAAAATATTTTATTCAAAATGTTATTTTTTTTTTAACATATCATCTTGAAAAAAATAATTTATTTTGACAATTTGACAAGATTTTTTATTTATTTTTCAAATGTTTTGGTACAAAATTTTGAATCAAAAATCATATATTGACCAACAAAAGAGTAAAATGAAATAATATATAGTTGGTTCTAAAAAAAACCATTTTTTANTATGTTTCCTATATATTCCCTAGTCTTTGTCAGCTTTTTAGGGTAAAAGGAGGCATAGTTTTGGAAATATCATCCCTGGAATGCAAGCAACATTTACGAACTTTTAATATAGTGATAACTATACAATTCGAATTTTGAATTAAAAGTCAAATATTTACCAACAAAACAGTGAAATTAAATATTAATATATAGTTAGTACTAAAAAAAACTTTTTTTTTAAAAATTAAAATATGTTATAAAAGGTTAAAATGAAATAGAAAAAATTAGCATTAATGCAACAATTTGTCAACAAACATTGCTGTTAGCGATTGTAAAAAAATGTGTGATTGGTTGGTTTGCTGAGAAAAAAATAATTCACAGATTTCTTTGAATGGGAGTAGAAAAGCTTTCAGAAAAAGGGTGCAATATAAAATCTATTATTATTAAATTATAAGCAAGTAATTTTTGGAGAATTTTATAAAGATAAAAATACAAAAACACTTTGTCAAAATAGAAAAAAAAATTAACACCAAAGCATCCGAACAAACTTGAGCCATAAATGGATTCAGCCCAAGGACAGAATTTAAAAACAGAAGCTAATATCCTAATCCCTTTCTTCACCAGAATCTTTCCTAAATTGCACAATCCCATAGCGGTCAAAGGTTTCTGCATTCCTTTAGCAACTGTGGGAGAATTTTATGTGGCATTCTAGTTTAACAGAGCTGTAATGGAGCAAATTTTGATGCAAGCAAAGTATTGCTAAGTTTATGATATTTCAACTGTTTGGCAATACATTTCAGTTTAAAAAAAGTGGCTATAATGGATGAAATAATTTAAATTAAGAAAATTAGTAAATAGTTTAAATTAGTGAAATTAAAAAAATTATCAAAGAAAAAATTTCCAGCTTTTCTTTAAAATTCCCTGATTTTTCCAGGTTTTTATCCAAATTTATACTTCCAGGTTTTTTCCAGTATAAAAAAATTTCCTGATAATTCCAGGTGGGTGGCCACCCTGAACGTTAACAAAGTTTTACTGAATTTTGACAGCTATTAAAGATTAAAATTGAACAAATATAATCGAAGATGCTGGAGCTATTGCCCTTTCTAAATTTAATGTTTTTTTATTGCTTTTCAGTGTTTTACCTCCTCCTACTTTAAGTTGCTTTAGTATTCTTGGACTATAATCAATGAAATAATACAATACTACTCCATAATAAAATACTTACATAATACTTACAAATTAGAGGAACGAACTTTATTTAGTGATACAACTGAAGGCGCTAAAGGTAATGAAGGGCATTTCACATCTTCTCGCTATCAAGTTTTCAAGGGGAAAAAATATCAATTTTAGATCACAATTAGCATACTTATTAATTATAAGAGAAGTTTCTGAAAAAAATTGAAATCCAAAAACGTTACGTTTTTTATAACTACTTTTAAGCCTAAATATTTATACTTCTTGATGAAAAAAAATTTAAATATCTGAAACAATTTTCATGGTAGATCAGAAAATTGATCTGCAAAAAAGACTTTAAAAAAAAACAAAGCAGTCTAAAACGAAATTCCATCTCAAAAATTTGTACTTTTAAGTAAAAATTACTTTAAACATGTTAAATTTATCTTTAGCCATCCCTAAGGGAATAATATTTAATTAAAACCACTTTCAGTCTTATACATAAATTTATAACATACTTAAAAAAAGTAGTTTTTAGAAGAATAATATCTCAAAATATTTTCTAAATTATATGCAGACAAATTTTGATTCTGTACTTGAAAATTTTTTATTAATTATTTTTTATTATTTTATTTATGGGATTTAAAAATTTTTGAATTACTATATATAAAATTTTTAACATTATTTTAAAGAACGTAATTTTACATCTAAAAATACAAAGTTTGAGTGAATCGATTGAATATGGAAATGGAATATTTAAGAATCCACATTTTTAAAATTCAATTTCTCAGGAATTATTAGACCAATTTTTTTTCCCTATTTTAGATTAAATAATAAAAATTAATAAATATTTACTAAAAGTTGTATTTAACATGGAATTATCTTTGGATAAACGAACTGTAAAAAAGAATTTTCAATTTCTTTAAAAAGTTCTCGAGAAAAACGCAAAAAGTAAAATTAACATTCAGAGGACCAAACTATGGGAACCATAATTCCCAGATTGCGTCTACATCCTATATTTTGGAGGTCAGAAATCTTAGCCTCTTTGAGGTCCTCCCCTCAAACTTTTAAGATTGACACCTAGAACATAAAGATCTGATCATTGGATCAAAAGTTATTCATGGTTGTCCGTTTTTTATTTTGCGCACTGTACATTAGAAAAAATTTTAATTTTTGGAATTTTTTAAAATTTATTTTGATAATTAGTTCACATTTCTTGAAAGAATATAACAATAAAGCTCTTCCGTAGATAGAAAAAAAACTAATAAAAATTTTACAGTAAAATCTATAAAAATACAAACTAAAGTAAAAAAGTAAGAAATACAAAGCAAATAAAGAAAAAAAAGCATTTTAAAAAATTATAAATCATTTTAATATCATAACAAAATGTGCATAACAAAATAAATTTTTTTACAATAAACAGAAACATAAATGTTAAAAATTCAGATTAACTTCCAAGATGAATTATATGGAGTGCTCTTAATTTCTCTAATTGGCGATGGAGTATAAGCCTAAAATAAAATAATAATAATTGTTATTCCAACAGAAATTAAAAACAAAAGAAAAAGCTGATAAAAATATTTAACAAAAAACCAAAACTAATATGTAAAAAAAATTTTTTTGCAAAATAAATAACATGTTGATTATTATTCCTGTGTTCGAATCGCGGCGACATTGTCACAGAACATTACTGAGTTCTTGCAAAAAGATTTTTCTGTTAGGAAGTAAATAATTTTGGTTTTCTTCTCAGCAGAAATTTTCCTTCTATTAATTTTTTTATTTAGTTATTAATTTTGATTTCACATAGTTTTTAAAATCCTATATTAATAATTTGATATTATTTATTATAGCAACTGAATCTCGAAATGAAAACATGCATTTAGTAACCCTTTTTCAAAGAAACCGATTCACTTGATTTCGCCTTCAATCTTTTTTTCCCGATAGTTACTGCTACGGATTTCAAAACTTTTTTTATTATTTTCTTTTAATGTGATGATGATTAACAAAATTACTTAAAAGGAAATTATTAGTGTATTTTTCATATACAAAATGCGAGAATATCTGCCACAATATCAGATTTAAAAATTAAAAAAAAGTATTTAAGTTGACGTTTCGGTTATTAACAAGTATATTTTTTATATTTAAAAGAATTTTACAGAAAGATATCAGTAATAGAGAGGCATGTTGCAGAAAGCCCGAAAAAAATTCTGCCACAGGTTTTTTTTTCCACCTAAATTAAAATCATTATAAAAGAATAATTTAAATTTTTGCTGTTTTAAAAGCCAAAACAAAAGCAGTGATGGAGCAAATTTTAAGATACTAAAAAATTTAGATCTCAAACATTTTTCAAATTAAAAAAACTGTGAATTTTTTTCAGAAAGAAATTTTGTGCCACCGTAACTGAGATGAACAAAACTTAAAAGTTGTGAATAGCTATTGCAAATCAACAATTAAAAAAATACCATATTGTTTGCAAATGTAATTTCATACAATAAAAGGACTTTTGAAAAATATCCTAAAACAGGATCTGAGATTACCTTAAGCATGTAATTTGATTTACCTACATAAAAAGTTAATTAAGGACTGCTAAC